CTCCGTGAGGCTCCCATGAGGCCCCTCGGAAGCCCCAATAGGCCCCCAAGGGGCCCCCAGGGAAGCCCCCTGCGGGACCCCAAGACACTTCGGTGAATCGTATTTCCCAGATAGTTTTCGGGGAACATGATTCCTTGGGCTTCCGCCCACCTCCCCAACCATGTTTCCAATAGGCTTGCCGACAAGGCCAGAAGGCGCCCCTCGGTAAGCCCCCAGAGGCCCCCCTCTTAGAGAGCCGAACAAATCATGCTCCCAGAAAGCTTCCCGGGAACATGATTCTCTATCTCGGAGTAGGCCCGGGGGGGGGGCGGGCCGCTGCCTGTTCCCCCCATCGGTGCCCCCCACCGGGGGTTGCGGGGGGGAGCTCCCGAGGCGGCCCGAGCCCGCCCCGAAGCAGGCCACGACAGGCTAAGGGGGTCCCGAGAGGACCCAAGACGGTCCCACGAGGCCCCGAAGACGCCCAAGATGCCCTCAAGACAGCCGACGAGGACTCCAACACGCTCCAGGACGGACTCAAGAGGCTCCCCAAGAGGGCCCTGGAAGGCAAGATTCACTCGTTTTCCGAGTGTTTTGGATTTTGGCGTTCTCGCTTTTCCCGCTTTCCAGCGCTCCCTCACGGCCTCGGAGGACTTTCAGATCGCTCCAAGAAGGCCCACGAGGCCCCGACGAGGGCCCCAAGACGGCCCAGGATGCTCCCCAGACAACCCAAGTGTGCCCCAAGAGCGCGCCAAGAGAAGGCCCAGAGGGGTCCCGAGGCGGCCCAGGCCCGCCCCGAAGCAGGCCACGACAGGCTAATGGAGGTCCCGAGAGGGCCCTAGACGGTCCCAAGAGGCCCCGAAGACGCCCAAGCTGCCCTCAAGACGGCCGACGAGGACTCGAACACGCTCCAGGACGGACTCAAGAGGCTCCCCAAGAGGGCCTTGGGAGGCAAGATTCACGAATTTTCCGATGGTTTTTGAAGGATTTAGGCGTTCTCGCTTTCCCCGCTTCCCAGCGCTCCCTCACGGCCTCGCTCGGAGGCCCTTCAGATCGCTCCAAGACGGCCCAGGAGGCTCCCCAGACAACCCAACTGTGCCCCAAGAGCTCCCCAAGAGAGGGCCCAGAGGGGGACCGCCAACCGATATTTCGAGGTCTCTGGCCCTCGAGGCCGCCTGTAGGCCCCCGGAGGCCACCAAGAGGCTCCCACGAAGCCCCGTGAGGCGCCCGAGAGGCCCCCAGGAAGCCCCAAGAGACCCCCAAGGGGCTCCCAGGGAACGCCCAAGAGGCCCCCCAGCACACCCCAAAAAATCATGTCCCCAGAAAACTTACCAGGGACATGGTTCATCATGGGCCCGAGAGTTCCCGGAGACCCCCAAGGGGCCCCCAGGGAGCGCCCAGGAGAGCCCCCAACACACCCCAACAAGCCATGTCTCCAGAAAGCCTTCCGGGGACATGGTTCATCATGGGCCCGCGAGTCTCCGGAGGCTTCGAAGTACCATCATGCTACAGGAGAGCTGTCTGGGAAGTTGATTGGGAACATGACTGATCGTCTTCTCGCGGCCCTCCGCAGATCGTTTCGCACAAAGTTGCCCCAAGTGCCCTCTTGAATCGACGACGACGACGATGAAACGACGAAGACGACGACGACGACGACGACGACGACGACGACGACGACGACGACGACGGCGCGCCACAATAGGCGACGACGACATTACGACGACGACGACGACGACGACGACGACGACGACGACGACGACGACGACGACGACGACGGCACGCCAACAGGCTCCCCAAGACGCCCCAAACCCATGCTCCCAGAAGGCCTTCTGGGAACCCGATTCACACGGCCTCCGCCCCCCTACACAACCATTTTCCTCGAAGACCTTTCGGAGTGCAGATTGGCATGCGTGGACTGTGGTCCGCTACTTCAGTGGAGCAGCAGTGAATTCGTCAAGGCCTGGGGCCTGCTAGAACCTGAGTGCGCGCGAAGCGCGCGCGATGGTTCTAGTATATATATATATATACACATAGTATATAACTATATACACACACACACACACACACTAGTGTGGACCTGTGGATTAAATCCACGAAGTTGGGCGGATCGAAACATGGTGGCGTGCGCTGGGTGGTGTGTCGCTTGAAGCTTGTTCTAGTGCTGTTCCCCCACCCAAGGCGCTCAATGCATCGAAATGGGGGCCGAAGTGTTCGAGCTTCGCAAGTGGCAGAAATTCAGAAGCCCAGGCCTGAGCAACGTTGGAAGATTCGCGCCGGGATCGCGGCGGACGCGGGAGCGGGTTCGGGCAAACGCGGCGCCGTGTCGGGCCGCGTCGGAGGCGTCGGAACGGCGTCGCGGCAAAGTAGGGAGCGCAGCGGGGCAGCCCCAGGGCCACCGGAGGGTCAAAACATACATTTTTGTTTTGCGCCTGCGAGGGGCCTCTCGCCCCTCGTCCGCCCCCCTCTGTTGGAAGCAATTTTGAAGCTTCTTGGGAGCCGTTTGGGAGCTCTATGGGGGCTGTTTTGGACTCCTCGGGGGCTTCTTGGAGCCCTCTTGGGCCGGCAGGGCGCCTCGTGGGCCGTCTTGGGGCCGTCTTGGGCCATCTTGGGCGCCTACCGGGCCGTCTTGGGGCCATCGTGGGCTGTCCTGAGCCCCTCTTGGGCCTCTCGTGGGGTCCTCTTGGGTCGTCTTGGGCGCTTCTTGGGCCGTCCTGGGCCCGTCTGGAGCCATCTTTGGGCCCCTTGGGGGCCGTCTTGGGCGATCTTGGAAGCCTCTGGGGCCGTTGTGGACGCTTCGAAAAGCAATGCTGAAAATAACAATTTTCCGAAGGGAATGTGACGAATTTAGCTTGAAGGAACCCTTTCGGGGGACCCCTTGGGCCTGCCTGGAACCGTCCGGGGGCGTCTTTGGGGCTCATGGGGCCGTCTGGAGAGCATCTTGGGCCGCCTGAGGTCGTCTCGGGGCCTCCCCCCCAGGACTGCCCCGGGCCGCTTCCAAATTGCCCACGACAGGCCACGCGGGCCGTACAGATGGTCAAGAAAGCCTCAAGAGGCCCCGAAGACGCCCAAGAGCGCCCCAAGGGGGCCCGAGATGGCTTGAAGATGTCCGACGAGGGCCCCAAGAGGGCCTTCAAGAGGCACAAATCGGCCCATTCCTTTCGTAAAACGTACATTTTCGGGATACTCGCTGGCTTCGTCTTCACAGTTCCCCAGACACCCCCGCGGAGCCCTAACACAGCCCAAGAGAGACCCAAGAGGGCCCCAGACGGCCCAAAAGGGTCGGCCTGTGGGGCTCACGGAACCCCCCAAGACGGCCCAAGATGCCCCAAAGCCGGCCCAGGAGGCCCCCAAGACGGCCTCAGGGAGGCCCAAGAGGGCCTCGTTCGAAATCAAGTTCCCGGAAGCCTCTCCGGGAACATGATTTCCGGATTCCGAGGACGCCCAAGAGGCCCACAAGACAGCCTCAGCGAGGCCCAAGAGGGCCCGAGATGTGAAGATGGCCGAAGAGGGCCCCAAGAGGGCCTTCAAGAGGCAAACATCGGCCCACTCCCGAAGTACAACGTACATTTTCAGCATACTCCCTTGCTTCGTCTTCGCAGTGCCCCTGCCGCGTTTGAGGAACCCCAAGACAGCCCAAGAGAGACCCCAGAGGGCCCAAGACGGCCCGAAAGGGTCGTCCTGTGGCGCTCACGGAACCCCCCAAGACGGCCCAAGAGGCCCCGAAGCTGGCCCAGGAGGCCCCCAAGACGGCTTCAGGGAGGCCCAGGAGGGCCTTGCTCGACATCATGTTCCCCGAAGCCTCTCCGGGGAACATGACTTTCGGGCTCCCCGGACGCCCAAGAGGCCCACAGGACAGCCTCAGCGAGGCCCCAGAGTGCCCGAGATGGCTTGAAGATGGCCGAAGAGGGCCCCAAGAGGGCCTTCAAGAGGCACAACTCGGCCCATTCCTTTCGTAAAACGTACATTTTCAGCATACTCGCTTTCTTCGTCTTCACAGTGCCCCAGACGCCCCGGCGGAGCCCCAACACAGCCCAAGAGAGACCCCAGAGGGCCCCAGACGGCCCCAAAGGGTCGGCCTGTGGGGTTCACGGAACCCCCCAAGACGGCCCAAGAGGCCCCGAAGCCGGCCCAGGAGGCCCCCAAGACGGCCTCAGGGAGGCCCAAGAGGGCCCCGTTCGAAATCGTGTTCCCAGAAGCCTCTCCAGGAACATGATTTCCGGGTTCCCATGGCCCCCTGGAGGGCCCACAAGACAGCCTCAGCGAGGCCCAAGAGGGCCCGAGATGTGAAGATGGCCGAAGAGGGCCCCAAGAGGGCCTTCAAGAGGCAAACATCGGCCCACTCCCGAAGTACAACGTACATTTTCAGCATACTCCCTTGCTTCGTCTTCGCAGTGCCCCAGACGCGTTCGAGGAGCCCCAAGACAGCTCAAGCGATACCCCAGAGGGCCCAAAGACGGCCCAAAAGGTTCGGCCTGTGGGGCTCACGGAACCTCCCAAGACGGCCCAAGAGGCCCCGAAGTTGGCCCAGGAGGCCCCCAAGACGGCCTCCAGGAGGCCCAAGAGGGCCTCGTTCGAAATCATGTTCCCGGGAGCCTCTCCAGAACATGATTCCCGGGTTCCCAGGACGCCCAAAGACAGCCCCCAGAGGCCCCGGACACGCCGAAGATAGCCTCAGGATGGCCGACGACGCCGTCAAAACGCCCCAAGAGCGCCTCCAGAGGCCCCTCCAAAGGGCCCCAGTAGCCGACGGTCATCAATTTTCCAATGGTTTTTGCGGCATTCTTGCGCTCTATGTTCCGCCTCCCCACGGTCCTGGACCGCGTCAGGGGCCCTTCAGATCGCTCTAAGACGGCCCAGCAAGCTGCCGGCGAGAAAGCCGATCGCAAGCCACCCCCATCCGAGGGCGAAAGGCCCCAGCCCCGGCGTGATGTGGTAATTAGTCTGGAGGGTAGCCCATGCAGACCATGCTGGCGGCCGCCGTCGCCTACTTGCACTCCGCCGGCATCGCGGCCGCCGCCGCATAGGAGCGCGAAGCCCAAGCCGATGCCCACGCATAGGCGCCAGTGCCTGCCATCCACACTCGGCCCCATGGGACTTGGCCCAAACGGTCTGAGACCCATGCCATCGACTCAACCGTTCGTCACAAGCGTCCGCACGAGAGACAAGAGAGGAAATATGATGCGCGGTAAGGGATGGATGTAAGCGGTGAGTGACAAAAGGATTGGAAGAGGCTCCCAAGAAAGCCCAGAGACGGCCCAGGAGGCCCCCCAGATAAGTCAAGAGGGCCTCGAGAGCGCCCCGAGAGAACCCCAAGAGCGACCCAAGAGGGCCCGAAGAGCGCGACATTTCGAGGTCTCGGGCCTGAGAGGCTCCCAGGACGCCCCCAGAGGCCACCAAGAGGCTCCCACGAAGCCCCGTGAGGCTCCCAAGAGGCCCCCCGGAAGCCCCAATAGGCCCCCAAGGGACCCCCAGGGAAGCCCCCTGCGGGCCCCCAAGACACTTCGGTAAATCGTAGTTCCCAGATAGCTTTCCGGGAGCATGATTCCTTGGGCTTCCGCCCACCGCCCCAACCAAGTTTCCAATAGGCTTGCCGACAAGGCCAAAAGGCGCCCCTCGGTAAGCCCCCAGAGGCCCCCCTCTTAGAGAGCCGAACAAATCATGCTCCCGGAAAGCTTCCCGGGAACATGATTCTCTATCTCGGAGTAGGCCCGAGGAGGGGGGGCGGGCCGCTGCCTGTTCCCCCCATCGGTGCCCACCAGGAGTTGCGGGGGGGGGGTCCAGAGCTCCCGAGGCGGCCCGAGCCCGCCCCGAAGCAGGCCACGACAGGCTAAGGGGGTCCCGAGAGGACCCAAGACGGTCCCACGAGGCCCCGAAGACGCCCAAGATGCCCTCAAGACAGCCGACGAGGATTCCAACACGCTCCAGGACGGACTCAAGAGGCTCCCCAAGAGGGACCTGGAAGGCAAGATTCGTTCGTTGTCCGAGTGTTTAGGATTTGGGCGTTCTCGCTTTTCCCACTTTCTAGCGCTCCCTCACGGCCTCGGAGGCCTTTCTGATCGTTCCAAGAAGGCCCACGAGGCCCCGACGAGGGCCCCAAGACGGCCCAGGATGCCCCCCAGACAACCCAAGTGTGCCCCAAGAGCGCGCCAAGAGAAGGCCCAGAGGGGTCCCGAGGCGGCCCGGGCCCGCCCCGAGGCAGGCCGCGACCGAAATGATCCCGCAAAGGGCCAAAATGATCTCCTAAGGGACCGAAGTGATCCCGTAAAGGACCGAAATGATCCCGTAAGGGACCGAAGTGATCCCGCAAGGGGCCCAAGTGATCCCGTACGATGCCAAAATGATTCCATAAAGGACCGCAATGATCCCGCAAGGGATCGAAATGATCCTGTAAGGGAGGTCCCGAGAGGGCCCTAGACGGTCCCAAGAGGCCCCGAAGACGCCCAAGCTGGCTTCAAGACGGCCGACGAGGACTCCAACACGCTCCAGGACGGACTCAGGAGGCTCCCCAAGAGGGCCCTGGGAGGCAAGATTCACGAATTTTCCGATGGTTTTTGAAGGATTCGGGCGTTCTCGCTTTCCCCGCTTCCCAGCGTTCCCTCACGGCCTCGCTCGGAGGCCCTTCAGATCGCTCCAAGACGGGCCAGGAGGCCCCGAAGAGGGCCCCAAGACGAGGCTCCCCAGACAACCCAATTGTGCCCCAAGAGCTCCCCAAGAGAGGGCCCAGAGGGGGACCGCCAACCGATATTTCGGGGCCGCCTGTAGGCCCCCGGAGGCCACCAAGAGGCTCCCACGAAGCCCCGTGAGGCGCACAAGAGGCCCCCAGGAAGCCCCAAGAGACACCCAAGGGGCTCCCCAAGAGGCCCCCCAACGCACCCCAAGAAATCATTTCCCCAGATAACCTTCCAGGGACATGGTTCACCATGGGCCCGAGAGTTCCCGGAGGCCCCCAAGGGGCCCCCAGGGAACGCCCAAGAGACCTCCCAACACACCCCAACAAACCATGTCCCCAGAAAGCCTTCGGGGGACATGGTTCATCATGGGCCCACGAGTCTCCGGAGGCTTCGAAGTACCATCATGCTACAGGAGAGCTGTCTGGGAAGTTGATTGGGAACATGACTGATCGCCTTCTCGCGGACCTCCGCAGATCGTTTCACACAAAGTTGCCCCAAGTGCCCTCTTGAATCGACGACGACGACGACGAAACGACGAAGACGACGACGACGACGACGCCGACGACGACGACGATGACGACGACGACGACGAAACGACGAAGACGACGACGGCGCGCCCCAATAGGCGACGACGACATTACGACGACGACGACGACGACGACGACGACGACGACGACGACGACGACGGCACGCCCCAGCAGGCTCCCCAAGACGCCCCAAACCCATGCTCCCAGAAGGCCTTCTGGGAACCCGATTCATATGGCCTCCGCCCCCTTACACAACCGCTTTCCTCGAATGCCTTTCGGAATGCAGATTGGCATGCGTGGACTTTGGTCCACTACTTCAGTGGAGCAGTGAATTCGTCAAGGCCTGGGGCCTGCTAGAACCTGAGCGCGCGCGAAGCGCGCGCGATGGTTATATATATATACACACATGTATATAATATATATATATATATATATATATATATATATATTCCTTTTCCCTATCAAAATATAAGGGACCCCCCCCCCGGATGGGCGTCACCTAATTCGCCCCCCCGGAAGAGCTCTGAACGGGCTCACGACAGCTCCGACAATGCCCGAAATTACCCCCAAGCTGGTCCGACCGGCCCACATTCCGCTCTATGATGCCCCAGTTGCTCTTACGAAGGCCCACGAGGCCTCCAAGACGCCCCAAGAGGCCTCCGAGAGCCTTCCCAAGAGAGCCCCAACAGGCAAAATTCATTGATTTCCCATGGTCTTCGACGATTCTTGGATTTACGCGTTTGCCACACCCGCCTCTCCAAAACGGCCACATGGGGACTCCAAGATTGCCCCCAGACGGCTTAAGACACCTTCAAGACGGCCCCAAGACAGCCCCAAGACGGCCCAAGAGGCTTCTAAGACGGCTCCAGGGACCCTCAAGACGGCTCCAAGAAAGGCCCCACGACAGGATCCGAGCCGACATTTCGGCCCTCCCGCTCCAGGATACCCCGAACACACTCTCCAGAGGCCCCCAAGGCCCCCAAGGCCCCGAACCAAAATTGGCTTCGCCCGAGGGGTGGCTCCGCGCCCCGGGATATGCTCCATCCTTAGGAAAACTCACACCCTCGACGGCCCCTCGGCGCCAGCGTGCCCGGAGAGCGTCGACGCACCCCATCTTGGGGCCGAACAGACAAAGCAGCCGTCGACGTAAACCAAAATTTGTTCAGCGCGTGGGGTGGCTCCGCGCCCCAGGACATGCTTCTTCCTTACGAAAACCCACAGCCACGACAGCCTCTCGGCACGGCGTGCCCGAAACGCCAGAAGCCCCCATCTGGGGCCCGAAAAAAAGAAGCAGCCGTCGACGTAAACCAAAAATTGGTTGGTTCAACCCGTCGGGTGGTTTTGCGCCCGCGCACATGCTGATTCCGTACGAAAACACACGCACACACACGAACGCACAAACACACAAACAGACAAACACACATACACACACCCACACGCACGAACAGACACACACACACACATACATACATACATACACACACGCACACACACCACACACACACACGGCAGCCCCTCGGCGCCCGCGTGCCCGGAGGGCGCCAGAAGCCCCCCATCCGAGGCCCCGAAGAAAATAATGCCCGTCGACGTGAAGCAAAAATTGATTCGGCACGTCGGGTGGCTCTGCGCTTCCGGACATGTTCACGCCTTACGAAAACACACACCCACGCAGCCCTGAGGGCGCCGGCGTGCCCGGAGGGCGCCAGACGCCCAGGAGGCCCGGTGCGAAAAAACAGCCGTCGACGTGAACCAAAAATTGTTTGGGCCCGTCGGGTGGCTGTGGGCTGCCTTACATGCTCACTCCTGATGAAAACCCACGCCCACGTTGGCCCCACGACCACCAGCACGACAACAAGCACGCCGCCAGCGTGACCGCCAGCACCACCGCCCACTAGCACCACCGCCCACAAGCACCATCCCCCGCACGACCGCCACCATAACGAGCAGCATGGCCACCAGCACGCCCGCCGGCACGGTGTCCAACACGAGCGCCAGCGCGACCACAGGCACGGCCACCAACCCATTGTCCTCCGAATCGGTGCTGCAATAACATCATGCTTCATCCCCCATAGCCGCTGAGCTCGCGACACACATCAAATTTACACCCACATGGCAATGGAAGTTCACGAGCTCGCCACATTCTGTGACCAGAAAGCGCGGCGGGATACCAGACCAGCGCTCCTGCGCCAAGGATGAGGATGAGGGACAAGATGTTGTGGCGAAGCGAAGCGAGCCAACAAGATCTTGTATGTAATAAGAAAATACGCCGGGCCTCCTCCCGGGGCGTCCTCCACCTCGCTCACATCACGTGTGCTCCAAGTACCGCGCTTCCCGACCTCCCACGGAGCCCCCGAAACGCCCAAGGACAGCCCAAGACGACCCCAAGAAGCCCCCAGAACGTCAAAGAATTGCCCAAGACGCTCATAAGCAACCCAGGATAGCTTTCGGGCGGCTCTCCAGGCTCCCAGGAGGCCTCCGAAAGACTTGAAGAGAGCTCCGAGAGGCCTTCTGAGAGCGCCCGGAGAATCTAAAATCGTTAATTTTTGGGTTTTTTTGTTTTCCGGGTTTTTGGCCTTTTCACCATTTCATGCTTCCAGCGCTCCAAGACGGCCGAATAGGCCCCCGAGACTGCCCAAGAACCCCCCAAGACGGCCCCAAGCTTGCCGAAGAGGCGCCCGGGACAGCTCCAGACCACCCGAGAACAGGTCCAAGATGAGCCCAAGAGCGGGAGGAGGAGGCCGCCAGGACCTCCGAGAGGGCTCCGGGACCCCCAGAGGCCTGCAACACACCCCGGACCCCTGAGAGGCTCCCACAAAAGCTCCGACGAGGCCCCCAAAACAGTTCAAGAGAGCTTCGAGAGCCGTCCCGAGAGAGCCCGAAGATGGTACAATCGTTGGTTGTCAATTGTTTTTGTCGACGTTTTTCGCCTTCTCACGTTTTCCGTTTTCCATCGCTCCAAGACCGAGGGATTTGGAAAAAAGAAGAAACATTATCCCAGTGCGACCCTACCTAGGAGTTGGAGCCTCTAGGAATGCAACATTAGTAGGAGCGGTAAGCGCCGTCTCCTCCTTCTCCGCATCGTCGTGGTTGTAGTGGTAGTGGTAGTGGTAGTGGTAGTGGTAGTGGTAGTGGTAGTGGAAGTGGAAGTGGTAGTAGTAGTAGTAGTAGTAGTAGTAGTAGTAGTAGTAGTAGTAGTAGTAGTAGTAGTAGTAGTAGTAGTAGTAGTAGTAGTAGTAGTAAGTAGTAGTAGTAAGTAGTAGCAGTAGTAGTAGTAGTAGTAGTAGTAGTAGTAGTAGTAGAGTAGTAGTAGTAGTAGTAGTAGTAGTAGTAGTAGTAGTAGTAGTAGTAGTAGTAGTAGTAGTAGTAGTAGTCGTAGTAGTAGTAGTAGTAGTAGTAGTAGTAGTAGTAGTAGTAGTAGTATAGTAGTAGTAGTAGTAGTAGTAGTAGTAATCTAGTAGTAGTAGTAGTAGTAGTAGTGTAGTCGTAGTCGTAGTCGTAGTAGTAGTAGTAGTAGTAGTAGTAGTAGTAGTAGTAGTAAGTAGTAGTAGTAGTAGTAGTAGTAGTAGTAGTAGTAGTAGTAGCAGTAGTAGTAGTAGTAGTAGTAGTAGTAGTAGTAGTAGTAGTAGTAGTAGTAGTAGTAGTAGTAGTAGTAGTAGTAGTAGTAGTAGTAGTAGTAGTAGTAGTAGTAGTAGTAGTAGTAGTAGTAGTAGTAGTAGTAGTAGTAGTAGTAGTAGTAGTAGTAGTAGTAGTAGTAGTAGTAGTAGTAGTAGTAGTAGTAGTAGTAGTAGTAGTAGTAGTAGTAGTAGTAGTAGTAGTAGTAGTAGTAGTAGTAGTAGTAGTAGTAGTAGTAGTAGTAGTAGTAGTAGTAGTAGTAGTAGTAGTAGTAGCGGCACACGCGTCCCGGAGTGTGTACCGATCTTATTATATATATAGCAGCAGCACTAGTGGATGCTGTGCTGCGCTAATGCTATGCTATGCTATGCTATGCTATGCTATGCTATGCTGCGCAATGCTATGCGGGGGTAGGCTGGGCTAGGCTATGCTATGCTATGCTATGCAGCGCTATGCTATGTATGCTATGCTATGCTATGCTATGCTATGCTATGCTATGCTATGCTATGCTTTTGCTTTGCCTTCGCTTTTGCCTTCACTTTTGCCTTTGCTTTTGCTTTTGCTTGGCACCCAGGAGGCGCAACTGGGGGAACCGCGCGTTTGCTTTTACCTTTGCTATTGCTTTTGCTTGGCTCCCAGGGGACTGGGGGAACCGCCCAGGGCGGTTCCCACTGCCCGGCCCCTTTAAGCTACAGAGTAAGAACCCTTCTAGGCAGAGCCTAGGTAGGGAAAATGAAGAAGAAGAAGGAATTTCAGATACACCCTTCTTTTTTATGTTTTAAATTTTGGCGATTTGTTCCCCAAGTTCAACAAATGCGCGCCCCCAACGCTCCGGGTACCTCGCTTCCCGACCTCCCGGGGAGCCCCCGAAACGCCCAAGGACAGCCCAAGACGACCCCAAGAAGCCCCCAGAACGTCAAAGAAAGGCCCAAGACGCTCCCAAGCAACCCAGGATAGCTTTCGGGCGGCTTTCCAGGCTCCCAGGAGGCCTCCGAAAGAGCCCAAGAGAGATCCAAGAGGGCTCCCGAGAGCGCCCGGGGAACCTAAAGTCGTTAATTTTAATGTTTTTGTTCCGGGTTTTTGACCTTCTCATTATTTCGTGCTTCCAACGCGCCAAGACGGCCGAATAGGGCCCCGAGACTGCCCAAGAACCCCCCAGGACGGCCCCAAGACGGGCCAAGACGGCCCCAAGACTGCCGAAGAGGCGCCCGGGACAGCTCCAGACAGCCCCAGAACAGGCCCAAGTTGATCCCAAGAGCGGGAGGAGGAGGCCTCTAGAGACCTTTGAGGGGACTCCGGGACCCCCCAGAGGCTTCCAACACACCCCAGACCCCTGATAGGCTCCCAATAAATACCCGACGAGGCCCCCCAAACAGCCCAAGAGAGCTTCGAGAGCCGTCCCGAGAGAGCCCGAAGATGGTACAATCGTTGGTTTTCAATTGTTTTTGTCGACGTTTTTCGCCTTCTCACGGTTTCCCGCTTCCAACGCTCCAAGACCGAGGAAATTATAGGAAAAACAGGATTTCCAGAGATTATTTTTTTTTCAAGTTGGGACTCCTACTCCCTATCCTCTTCCTCGAGCCCCATCAAGACTTCGGGGCCACATGCAAAAATATTTCGGGAATGCTGTTGAACTCTCTGGCGCTGTCTTGGCACTCTCTTGGATCGTCTTCGTGTCCTCTTGGCTGCCCCTAAAACCATTGTAGAAATGGAGATTCCATGATCCCATGAATTGAAGCAGTGGAATTATCGAATCCCTTTCTTTCAAACTCACCCCATGCTTATTTGCACGAAGACCCCGAGAGGCATCCCAACAGACCGTGACCTGCATGCAGAAATTGTCTAACCCACAGCCCAGGCACTACAACTTAAAAAAAGGGAAATCCCACCATTCCGGTTTTTTCCAAGTTTGCCCTTTGCCTATTCTTGCACAACAGACCACAATGATGGCCCCAGAAAAGAGCACAGGAAGCCTTCGAGGGCCCCAAATCGTTGAACACCGAACGGCAATTAATGATTTGTGCGTTTCCGCAGTTCCCTTCTACACGATTCTGGGGCTTGCACAGGGCCTCCAAGAGAGCCCTTGGATGCAAGATACGACAAGGATGATATTCCATGCGTTCGCCCATCAAGCCTAGCTAGAATTTGAGCGCGCGCGAAGCGCGCGCGATGGTTCTAGTAACCTATATATACATATATATACACGAATATACATGTGTATGTGCATATTATGTATAGCTGCAGACCATATACTTGGGTATATAGGCGATGAGCACGGCCACCGAAGTGGACGTGCCCATAGGAGCGGCCGGCAGGCCGATCTAGCCCCGCCCGATGGGGAGGCCCGCCGTGGCCTTTCTCGTGCACCTCGCCGGGATGCTCTGCCCGCCCCTGGGGTGCGACACGTTACGGGGCGCGCTGCCTGAAGGATTGCAGAAAAACGAAGGATTGCCAAAAAACCAAGGATTGCAACAAAAACCCGAAGGATTGCAAAAAAAACCTGGATTCCAAAAAAAAACAGGATTGCAAAAAAAACCCAAGGATTCCAATCCGGTTTTTTTTTTGCATCTTGTTTTTTTTTTGCAATCCGGTTTGTTTTGCAATCCTGGGTTTTTTTTGCAATTTTGCGCCGGCTGCGACCGCTTAGATTGCAACTGATTGCGAAGGCCTGACGGCCGGTGCCGCCGACCCCGAAGAGGACCATGACGTCGGCCCGCCGTGGCCTCTCTGGTGCACCTCGCCGGGACGATCTTCCCGCCTCTGGGGTGCGACACGTTACGGGTCGCGCTGCCTGGCGCCAGTTGCGACCGCTCAGACTGCCATTGGTTTCTGCCCTCCGCGGTGCGCGAGTTTGCTGATCGCGCGAGCGGGATGGCCCTCCTAGGGGGCAACGGATTTCGTCCTATTTCCCAAGGGTGCAGGACACTCCGAAGAGGATCCAGACCTCTAGCAGCCAGCAGTCGGCGTGAGCTCGGCGTTCTTTGTCGCTCATGAGGGAAACATCTCCCCGTCTATGGCATGATACGCTCCCTGAGATCCGACGTTGCGATGGACATGCAACAACACGAAAAGTCACGACCAGAGCCCAGAGCCCATCTTTCTGCGCCACTGTCCGAGCTGGACCGATATGTGAGAGCCCTGGGTCCCGAAACCCGGGCGAAAACGCCTGGCTCCAAAAAGATGCAGCGGCTGGATGACAGGGAGGTTCGCCCAGCTGGAGCCCCCAGCCGATGACCACCTGGATTCACTCTCGCGCTCCAGGCCGTGGACACGCCCTGCCCTCGGCGGCGCAGCCACCCCCCTCCGCGCTTCCTGCCGCCCGCTCCGGCGGGCGAGGCCCACGCACACGACCTCGCCTACAGTCGGGGCCCTGAAGAAGGAACCCTTTTCGTTGGGCAGGGGCTCCGTGTTCCTTGATAGTTTCGCAGCTTGCGGTTTTCGATGTGAAATCGAAGTTTAACTTATGGAAAATAGGGGCCTCGTTCCTGATTTAGGGTTCCTTGGGTCAACGCCCCGACTGTAGGGCGCCGCCACGGCCGGCGACGGAGTGCCCCTTGTGACCGGCAGGGGGAAGCCTTGAAGAGCGGCCGCGCGCGGAGGGGCTGCGGGGAGGGGGGAAGCCCGCTTTACAAGCACCCCTGCTCCTCAAAGTGCGCGGGCCTCGTCCGTGCATGTACAGTGAGCGGCTTGAATAAGGAACGCTTACTTTTCAAAAAGGGCTCGGTCGTTCCTTAGGTTTTGCATGCGTTATATATCGCTCCCTGTGCGTTATGTATTGTTTGTTCATCGTTCCCTATGCGTTATTCCTCGGAAGAAAGGGGCCTCGTTCCTTATGTATCGTTCCTTAGGTCAGGCCGATGACTGTAGGGCTGGCGCCGTCTAAGAAACGGCCTTCTTCTAAGAGGCCTTCCCCCTCCCCATACACCCCCCCTGCGCGCCGCCGAGAAGGCCCCCAGGCCTCGAATAGGGGTCCCAGGCAGACGGGGTCGGCGGATCGCGCCACACGGCCGAGGCATCGGCATTGCGGCTCGATGCGCAGCCCGGAGTTCTCCACGCCGACGGAGGAAAAATTGCGTAAGCCTTCATTTTCCCAGGTCCGCGCGGATTTCTTGGTGGATCGGCGCTGGACTCCCCTGACGGCGCCTCCAGCGCCGCCCCTGGCGCGCTCCGCGCGCCAGGGAGGGGTGCCCATGTCAGATCCAGGACAGCCGCGCGGACCGTCGAGCGCTGGTGCTCGTGCAGTCCTTTCTGGTCCTGCTGGTGGCCGCCGCCAGAGCTGCTGTGCGCGCTGGAGCCCTGCGGGCCACACTTTGCGGGCGCACCTGCGAGGAGGGGGGGGCGCGCAGGGCGGCAGCGCAGTGGCTGGCAGGCCGCCCGCCAGGCAGCGTCTCGACCCCTGACCCTCGCGCCGCGAGCAAAGCCACCGGCTGGCGGTGGAGTGCCGCGACAGTGAGCTCGCCACGCTCGCCATGAAGGAAACGGGTTCTGAGGAAAACGGGTCCTGATTTGATTGCCGCCTTTGGCCTTCGGGGCCCTTCACGGGCCCCAGGTTTCTCAAAGAACGATCTGGGAGGAAGAGCTGGTCTTGGGAGAAGCCCGGGGTCTCCAGGACCCGCTTCCACCAGGGCCGGTTTCCTTCGTGCCAAGCTGGCGACGCGCACCGAGAGGGGGCTGCGGCTCAACCCTTGGCAGTCGTGAGCACCACCGCGACGGAAGGTCCAGGGCCCTTCTGAGAAGGCCCCTGCATTCTGACAAGCCCGCCCACTTTCTCAGAAGGCCGCCCGCCCCGCTGCGCGCGCGGTTCGGATAAAGCGAGCGTATTTTGAGGGAAGTGGGTCCCAGGGTTTGTCGCCGTATTCGGACTCTGGGGGCTTTCCCCGGATCTCGCGACCGTCAAAAAGCGGCTGGTCGTCTTCCTCATGGGAGGCTGGTGTATGGAGCGAGCATTTTCCTCATCATTATTGTAATCCTCCATACTGCTGCCTCTCATCCTCCAATTCGTGATCCGATCACCATCATCATCACCATCATCACCATCAGCAGCATCATAATCAGCATCACAATCACCGTCGTCATCATTACCACCGTCACCATCACCATCGCCCTTCGTTATAGACGCTGGCCCTCCTCCTCCCCTCCTCCTGCTCCTCCTCGTGTTTCTTCTCCCTGCCCCACCCCCTTCCCCCATCCCTCCTCCTGCATGGACCCAACGTAGTCGCCAAGCCTTTCACCGCATGGCAATAATTCGGCCGTGTCGCTCACCTACGCTTGTCAGCGCAGGGGGCCAGGACTGGGGCTCGCTGTGCCCGCCTTGCGAGGAGCGCCGTCGTCGAGCGGGGAGGTCACGGGAGGGGTCGGCCGTCTCTGTAGAGATGGCTTTCGCGGTTGGCATCGTTTTCAGATGGGGTGTTGGGGATCCTTTCGGCCGAGAGTGCGTCAGAAAGAAAAAACAAGACGAAAGATGAGAAGGGAATTGGGGAAGCAGAAGGACCACGATGCCGACAAGATCACACACTGCCGGGAGAGTCAGGTCTGCGGTAGCACATTGGGCGGGATTGCGGCTTGAGCGTTGAAGCGAACAGGGGGGACCTACAGACTTGCGACGCCCCAGCGCAGCCCCCTCCTCCTCCTCCTCCTCCTCCTCCTCCTCCTCCTCCTCCTCCTCCTCCTCCTCCTCTATCTCCTCCTACTCATCCTCCCACTTCTCCATCTCCATCGCCTCATCCCTCCTCCTTCCGCCTGATACATACTTACCCTTCCAGCTTATCCTCCTCCATCCCTTCTTCCTATAGATCGCCCATCCTTGTCGCAGCACCAGACGTGCTGGTGGGCCAGACCGTGCGTTTCGACTGAGATTTGTTTGGAGTTGATGGCCCCGAAGCTTGCAAGTCCCAACCGTTGCAAGGATACAGCTTGTCACAGCTGCAGGGGCGGATGCACGTTCGTTTTCAGACTGGGGCTCCCTCCTTCACGTGGCACGCATCCGTCTCAACAGCTCGCAGCAACTGCAGGGATGCAGGGCGGCTCGTCTTCAGAGCGGGGCTCTCGCCTTCGCGCCGCTGACCTTCGTCGCAGCAGCCTGCAGCAGCAGCCAGAGGGAGGCCTGCAGCTCCCGGCCTCGGAGTGGGCTCTCGCTGCCACACTTGCTCCGACGGCCAGGAGGTTGAAAGTGCGTGCCAGCTGCACCGAGCGGCTCGCCCTGTGGTCGGCGTCCCCCCAACATACTTACACTATGTGTTCGTCGCCTCCCCAGGGGCGACGCGCGCACGGAGAAATCTTATAGCATATGCGCCGTGGCGGGCGCTTCCTGGCCACACCGCTTAAGAAGCGATATACTACAAGATGGGTATACTACGTGTTCGGGTCGGACGCGCGCCTTCAAGGCGGACATATAGTATTAGTATGTCTCTGTGCGTCCCATGTGGGCCCGTGTCGCGGCAGCCGTCTGGGCTCAGGGATGGCCGCGCTCAGGGCCCCCGTGCTGCCTCGGCCTGCGCGCCGCGGGGCTCCCGAGGAGCGCCGCCGAGGCCGACCGCTGGTCCTGGCCGAGGACACCGCCGGGCTTGTCCTGGACAGCCTGGGAGGCTTGGTGGTCTCCAAACCAGGTGGTGAGACACCCGGTGGTGATCCCGATTCCCCCAAAAAATAATTCTGGGTCACCACCGGGTTTGGGGACACGCGGTCGCCACGAGGTTTCGCGTTTCCTGTGCCAGCCAGCGCTCGAAAACCATTACCCAAATCGCCCAAAACTCACCACCAGGTGTTCTCACCACCACGTTTGGGGACCACCAAGAGGCGGCACCGACCTCGTGCGCTATCGGGCCGCCTCCCGGTGGCACAGCGGCGTGGCCCGCCGCCCGCTGCTGGGGCACCTCCTGGCGAGAGTCGCTGGCCGCGGTGGCGCTCCCGCAGGCGCCGAGACGGATGGGGGGACAGCGCGGGTGGGTCGGGGGCGTCGAAGGTCACAGGAGGGCGAGTGGAGGTAACGATGCTCAGCCCTCGGAGGCCCCTTGTCGCCACAGCTGGACGCAACTCGAACAATTGGTGCGTTTGGACCCTGGGAGGGATCGTGGGCCAGTTTTGATCTGCCGTTGTCTCAACTCGCTTGGAGGGGGTTGAGGACTACACCGCTCTGGAAAACCAATGCGCTGATTGCAGGTCGTGTCGAAGAATCGTCCAGCGAACTTCCATGGAGTTAGTTGTTCATCTTGGATCCGTGTCTGACGGGCCAGGGACCCGAAAACGGCTTCCAGATGGTACATCCTACGAAGAACCGAAGGCGACGAGAACAAATACATCGACGAATCAGGTTACATTTCTTGTCCAGGGCAGTGTAGGGGTGTGTGGATGTCATGGCCCAGGCCAGATGTCAGCACCCCTCTTCTTCACTCCATGCGTACTCTGGCCCCCCGCTCCCGTCCACGCACATGCCCCGGGCCTTCTTCCCGGCCCCTCTCTCTTCGGCGCACCCAAGTGGGGGCAGCGTAAAGGAGAAGGAGGAGGACTTTCGGGGCGAAGAAGAGGGGCGGGTCGGGAAAAGGGGGGTCGTAAGAGAATTGCTGCATGCAGCTGGTGCCGGGCCAGCCGCTAGGGATATGTCCTACATGCGGGGCTGACTCAAGCGCTGGAGGGCGCTGGGAAACCCGACTGGATGCTACTGATTCGCCCTTTGCCGTCCCACCTCGAGACCTGTTTTTTCAACAGCGTGCGCTGCCCCAACGCAAGCAGTGTTGAGCGAGGGAGCGCGCATCGACTATTCCTCGGGAAGTTTGTCAGCCCTGCGTGTATACATTAACGGCGCACCGGGCTCGGGGGTCGAGGGCCGGAACCTCGACCACAAATGTGGGGACTGGGGCCCAAAATCGCCCCGGGGAGCCCTCAGACAGCAATCCCGGCGGCCCCAGGCGGTCTCGAGACGCTGTCCAGGGGTCTTTGGCGACACACGATGCGTTTTAAACTGCCCCAGAGGCCCCCAAGACGCCCCAAGAGGCTTGTAAGATGCCGCCCGAGAGCGCCCCGATAGGACAAAATCGTTGATTTTCATAGTTTTTGTTTGTCAATGTTGTTTGCATTCTCGCTGTTTCGTGTTTCTGGCGCTAAAACACTGCCCAAGAGGCCCCCAAAGCCGCTCCAAGACGGCCCAAGAGGCCCCCAAGAGGGCCCCAAGACGGCCCAAGAGAGCCTTGAGACGGCCCCAGAGCCGCCCAAGATGGTGCAAGAGGGCCCCAAGAAGGCCTCAAGAGGGGCCCAAGAGAGGGAACGCGAATTGAAAAATCAAGCTCTCTGCTCCAAGATGCCCCTAAGATACCCCAAGAAGTCCCCAGGAAGCCCCCAAGAGGCCCCAAGAGGCCCCCAAGAGGCCCCAAGAGGCCTGCAAGAAGCCCCAAAGAGACTCCAAGAGGCCACAAGACGGCACCAGAAAGGTTTCAAAACTCCGTCTAAGAGGTCCCCGAAGACATGCCAAGAAGGTCCCATGACGATTTCAAGAAGCAGTCCCGGATGCTCCGAGGAGGCCCAAAGAAGCTAGCTAGAATTTGAGCGCGCGCGAAGCGCGCGTGATGGTTCTAGTGTGTATGGGTGTGTGCGTTTCCACACCATATCGCTGCGCGCGAGGCCGCGACGCCAAAAAGTGTGTGTGTGTGGTTGTGGTTGTGCTTGTGCTTGTGTTTTTGCTTGTGTCAGTGTGTGTGTGCGTGTGTGTGTGTGTTGGTGGGTGCACGTGCGCGTGCGTGCGTGCGCGCGTGCGTGTATGTGTGTGTGTGTGCCGCGTGTGTGTGTGTGTATGTGTGTGTGTGTGTCTGTGTGTGTGTCTGTGTGTGTGCGTGCGTGCGTGCGTGCGTGCGTGCGTGCGTGCGTGCGTGCGTGTGCGTGTGTGTGTGCGTGTGTGTGTGTGTGTGTGCGTGTGTGTGTGTGCGTGTGTTTGCCCTGTTCAGCTCCATCGTCAGCGCGCCCCTGTTGAGCTCCATCGTTAGCGCGCTGCCTGCGTCCGTCCTCACTAGGTCGCAACGAAGGGCTTCGGTGGACAAGTACACGCTGGCGCTAACACACGTTCTGAGGATCAGCCGAGGTTGGATCCGCGCCGGCGGAGAGCCAGTCCGCCGCGTTGGGGGAGGTCCCGCAGGCAGGTGGACCTATGCTGCGCCTCCCCAGCCTTGATGCCACCAGCGTCGCCATACTTCACGGTTCTGTTTCTCCTGGTGAGTTTGTGCAGTGGGAGCGTCTTTGCAAGTTGCAGGTGATACTAGCACTCAGGTGCTTCGGCGAAGAGGGATGAGCACGCCAGTCTCGCCACAGCGAGAGGCGCTTGGAGCGCGGCCCGCATGGTCGCATACGTCGTATGCCCGATCATTCCCTCCTTCCCTCCCCGTCCCCCCTCATTGGGACCTGGCCCCCACGTGCGAGCCTCGCCACGCCTGGAGTCTTGAGCCTTGAATCTCCTCATCCCTCCTCCTCGTTTCCCCCCTCCTGAGTGATACCATCTTCCTCCGTTCCCCCTCCCTCCTCCTCCTTCCCCGTCCCGTGGCCATCTTGGCTCCCGTCATCATCTTGACTCGAGCTGGCCTTCGCCCCTCGCTAGCCACCGATTACAGCTCCGATCCGATGTTGCGCGCGCCACCTATGTGCGCCAGACAGCAGCTTGTGGTTACAATTGGAGGGCGGTTATGTGCACCGTACACACAGAGACAGATTCGCCCTCGACTGAATGAGCGGCGCCTCGGCGCCCACTCCCAGCCCCGCGCGCGGCCGCCCTCACGGGCGAACCGAGGAGGAGGAGGAGGAGGAGGAGGAGGAGGAGGAGGCGGGAGGTCGCCTCGCCTCGCCTCCCTTCGCCACCTCCGCGCGCGGCCCCCGCGGACGACGGCGGGCGGTGCCGCACGCCGGGCCCCTGCCCTCCGTGCGCGGCCGTGCGCGGAGGAGGCCCCGCAGGCCAGGCCTCGTGGCAGCAGGTCCGCCACCCGGCATCGAGTGCTACGACAACCAGCATCTAGGCCTCCTAGACGGGGTCGGAGTAGACGGGGTCGGAGGATCGCTCCGCATCGCCGATGCATCGCCGATGCGGCTCGATGCGGAGCCCGATTTGCTTCACGTCGACGTCGCCGATACATAGCCCACGTCGACGATGCATCGCTGGTGCATCGCCGATGCATCGCCGATGCATCGCCGATGTATCGGCGATGCGGCGCGATCCTCCGACCCCATCTACTCCGACCCCATCTAGGAGGCCTCTACATCAGGAGCCTTGAGACGGGGGTCAATGCAAACGGGGGTCAGCCAGAGCGCCCGATCTTGCAGGATCCTGCAGGGCCAGGGTCGCATTGACCCGGGTTTGGGCGCAGGATCTTGCAGAATTTTGCAGGATCTTTCGCAACCCGGGTTTGGGTGCAGGATCTTGCAGGATTTTGCAAGGATTGATTGACCTGGGTCTGGATTGACCCGGGTCAGAAGATCCTTGAAACCTCGTCTATTGCGAGCTCAGCACAGATGCCGTCCTCAGTTACATGAGCGATGGCCTCACGGGCCTCATTGTCGGCCAGCCGCCAAAGTGCTTCGAGAAGTTCGACGTGCTGTGGGACGCCACTGAGGAGAAGGATATCGTGCAGTGCGAGGAGGGCGAGAAGCTCACGGGTCTCGACGTCAGCATATAGGAGGTGCCGACGGCGACGCTGTCCCCACGAAGGTCAGCCCAAGTTCATGGCGGCGTGCGAGTCGCCGATCGAGCCGCCCCGCCCCACCACGCACACGACCATCCAGAACGGTAAGTTCAACGTGAATTTCGAAGACGAGGATGTCGAGCATAATTTCTCTGACGGGCTGGACAAGAACCCGCCAGCAGAGAATGCGGACTCCGAAGGTAGGCAGTCGGAGCTGAAGAATATCATCCAACCCATCATGAAACCAGCTCGCAACGAGACGGCGAACGAGCAGAAGGTGGAGGAGAAGCTTGAGTTGAAGGACAAATACAAGAACGAGAAGGCTGTGCTGCCAGGGCGCTGGCGGCACATGGCTCGCATCGACAAGCAGAGGCCCCCCGACATGGTTGGCCCGCCACTGGCCAGTGAGAGCAGCGGCGAGCCCGCTAAACAAAGATGTCTTCGGCAAGGGCGTCGAGGACATCCCGCCCAGTTTGGACAACAACTTGAGCGACGCCGCCTGCGGGAGCCTCAAGTCCGCTGCCACAGAGGATGTCGCCCCGTGCTGCGAGACGGCCACGGAGCAGAAGGTCCCCGTGTGCAACACCACCGAGGGCCAGCAGTCCCAATGGTGAGCATGTGGCGTAAATGGCGAAGGGGAACATGCTTCACGCGTCGCGTATCCCCACCGGCAATTATTACTGCAGGTGCGTCGCCTCTTGTAGCTGATTAGCCTCGCCTGCTGGCCCAGACGACGCCTTCCGCTCCCTGTCCGCCGCCTCGGAGCCGAGACCAAAAAAAGTATCCCCACCGGCCCATTCAGACACCCTGACCTTGAGAGCTGACGGGAGAAGGGGCGAAGACACACATCTAGCGAAGCAGAGCAAGCGACCAGGGTGAACAGATAGATCTCTGGGAGCAAGGGGGCTCTTGGAGCCATCTTCGTGCTTTTGGGGGGCATCTTGGGGCCCTCTTGGGTCTCTTTGGGGGGTCTTGGGGTCCTCTTGGGGCTCTTTGGGGGCTCTCTTGGGGCCATCTTGGGAGCTATGGAGCGCCTCTTGGGGTCATCTTGGAGACCATCGATCAAGGAGGGGGGGTCCTAGATTCCCCCCCCTCCTCCGCCGGGGCCATCGAAATAGCCTCTTAGGGCTCTCTGGCTCTCTTAGGGCGATCTTGGGGCAGCCTTGGGGGCCTCTTGGGCCCTTCTTGGAGCTCTCGTGGGCCATCTTAGGGCCATCATGATCGGAAGCGAAAAGGCGAAAAAGGCAACAATCCGTTATTGTCCTTAGGTTGTTGATGGATGTTGGCTTCTCGGGGGTGTCCTGAGGGGTCGCCAAAAGCACCTGTACCCGTCTTGTGGCCCTTTTGGGGCCTCTTGGAGGCATGTTGTTAGCTATCTTGAGCCATGTTGGGCTATCTTGATCGATCTTGGAGGCTATCTTGGGCTTTCTGCAGCCATCTTGGAGCCAACTGGTGCGAAAAGGATCCTTTGACACCCCGCGAAGCCCCCCGTCAAGTTTCAGGGGGGGGTAACGGGAGGGGTACACCCCTCCCCGAAGGGGAAGAAGGGGTTTGGGACGAGGAAAGAAGGTCATCGTTAGACCACCTGTCGCACAGAGGACTGGTGGGATTTTTCCCCCCTGCGACCGTTTCGGTGATAACGCAGCACTGGAGGCCAGAAGCAAAGCCAAACATACATGTCTGGTGTCAGCGACGCCAAGATTCAGATGAAGCTGAAGACGCACCTGTTCGAGGTGGACTTGCGAACCATGGGCATGAGGGCCGTAATTAGAACGGCCTCGGCGTCCGACTGCGGCTCTGTAGAGATCCGTCGTTCTAGTCGGTCTGTCCTCCCAGGCAGCTGTTGGCTGCGCAAGTCGCAGCAGTATAATATAGCAGCGAAGTGTGTCTGATCTTCGCTGTTTGGTTTAGTTTTGTGCTGTAGCTTTTTATGGCAGATACGTGCTGGAGGGTGAAGCGGATGCTATTGCAGCTTCGTTGAATGAGTTTGTAGCCTTTGCGGAGGTCGCAATATTCAGAGGGTGTGCGTGTGTTTTGTTCTGTCCCTTGGAGCTCTCGCGCTTGCAGTGCTCAGCGTATAGATTGTTGCGAAAAGGAGTATGGCAGGTGCCACGGTGCACCCTGATGTCTGCGATCGGGCGATTCGGCTCCGATCCGAACCCACCCGAGCTGTGCGTTTGTCCATCTTCCCCCTCCCCCCCTGTTTCCCACCCCTCCCCTCCTCCCCTTTTCCTTTTCCCCCCTCCTCTCCCCGCCCCCCTCCCCCCCCGGGGGCGGCGGGCGCGCGGGAGGGCAGAGGGTAGCACCGGGAGGGCGGGGCCGTCGTCGTCGCGGCAGCCTGAAGGCGCTCGCGGCCGCTGCGAGGGTTCCCCCTTGGGGGCCCTGATGGCCCTTGGCAGGACGCGTGCGCTCCCTGCCCGGGCTCCTCGGCGCCGATCGGCCAGCCGGTCGGTCGGTCGGTGTCCGTCGTGTTCGGCGTCGTGTCTCGTCGTCGTCTGTCGTCGTCAGTCGTCCGTCGTCGGGGCCGTCGTCGGTCGTCGTCGGTCGACCGCCGCCGTCGTCGTCTGTCGTCGTCCGTCGTCCGTCGTTGGCCTGCGTCGTCGTCGTCCATCGTCCGTCGTCCGTCGTCGTCGGTCGCCCGTCGTCGTCGTCGTCGTCGTCGTCGTCGTCGTCGTCGTCGTCGTCGTCGTCGTCAGTCGTCGTCCGTCGTCGTCCGTCGTCGTGCGTCGTCGGTCGTCGTTGGTCGTCGTCTGTCGCCCGTCGTCGCCCTGGTCGTTTTTGTCGTCTGTTGTCAACGTCGTCGTTGTCGACGTGGTCGTCCGTCGCGCATCGGCCGTCGCCGATTTGCGCTGCCAAAAGGGGAAGAAGCAAGAGGATGAGGGGGACGGAGACGGGGTGGGGGTGGCGAGGTTTCTGATGGTCGTCGAAGGGTCCCCTAAAAGGTGTTCGGAGATTTTTTGCGGCTCCCTCAGTCGGACGCAAAGCGACAGTCTAGCATCACGCCTCCGATTCGCGTGTACAGTAAAATGTATACGTGTGTATGTGTGTGTCCTCCTCTTCCTCCTTCTCCCGATAAACGCGGTGGTGTCCTTGCGGTCGCACAGCCTGAACAATTTCCCGAAATTCCTGCCCGCAGGAGTGTCATGCTGTTTGCTTCCTCCTCCTCCTCCGCCTCCTCCTCCTCGGACCATGTATCCCTGTCTACGAGGCGTGGGGGCCGTGGGCTAGTAGGGGGCTCCAGAGCACATGGGGGTATCGGGGAGCCCAGAGGTGCTTCAGAGGCTTTTCCGAGTGGCCCGAGTCGCTTCCGAATCGCAAGGAAATCACTCCCACACGGTTGCGGTTGTCTCCAGATGGTGAGGAGGAGGAGGAGGAATACGAGGAGGAGGGGGAGGAGCAGCAGGAAGAGGAGGAGAGGAGGAGGAGGAGGAAGAGGCGAGGGGAGGAGGCAGGAGAAGGGAAGAGGCTTCCACGAGCGTCCACATGGGCCCCCCTAGGCCCCACAGAAGACTTCCACTACGCCTCCAATATGCCGTCGAGAGACCCCCTGGAGATATCCAAGATGCTGGATCAGGGGCACAGGGGGAACAGGGGAGGAGGAGGCGAGTGATGAGGAAACAGGGGAGGAGGAGGAGGAGGAGGAGGAGGAGGAGGAGGAGGAGCAGGATCAGCAGGAGGAGGAGGACCACACAGAAGCGAGGCGAGAGCGCCAGGGCGCCCCAGCGGGGACGGCCGCAGAACCCCCCCGGGAACCCCAGAATGCCTGAACGTGGGCCTCAGGGTCTGTTGGGGATCTCGATGAAAAAGCGGAGGGGGTATCGATTGAGCGGTCGCGCCGCTGTTTGCCGGGGGGGGGGGGGGGCGCCTGCGTCGCCGAAGCAGGAGCGCCGGCCCCAGGTAAAAAACACGAGGGTATCGAGCGGGAGGGCTGGTTTGTTGGAGTGGCGGCTCTCGGCGGCGAGAAAGGGTGCCGGTGCCGAGTAGAGAAGGAGGAGTTATCGAGCGGGAGCGTCGCTGTTGTTGCGGGGTGGGGGCGCTTCGGCGGCCCCCTGGAACGCTTGAGCGCGAGCCGATTATCCAAAAGAAACGCAACTGGCGCCGAGGCGAGAGCGCCATGGCGGATGTAGGAGGTCCATAATAATATCTGTCTGCTCTCATCGGCTCGCGCAGCAATCAACATACCCTCGATACCCGCCCTCTTCGTCTTCGATCGGACCCCCCTTGGGGGGTAGATCTTCTTACCAGCCACATGTCGTTGGCGCGGCCCCTAGGATACAGGAGAAGAAGGGAGACAGGAATATGAGAGGGAGAGAGGGAACGAGAGCGAGGAGGGAAGGGAGGCCACGAAGGGTATCGAGGGGGCCACGAAGGCAACGACGGAACCGCGAAAGGCGACTGCGGAACCACGAAGGGCAGCGAGGGGCATCGAACTCGGGCGAGGGGCAGCGAGGGGCGACTGCGGTCCCGAAGGGGCGGGCGGGTTGCTGAAGCGTGAGTCCTGCAGGCATCGTCAGGAAGCCTTTGGCGATGGCGCGGTTCCCCAGTACATCGTGATGAAGTCCAGGGCGAGGCGTGTCCTGAATGTCGAGGGCGCGGTAACGCGATTCTTGGGCAAATTGAAACGAGGTCCCACGAGATGGCGCGATTCCTGGTAAATGGTAAAGAGTCCCTAACGAGAACGCGATTTCCAATTCATTGCGAGGAAGTATCAGGCGGGAGCCGTTGTTGTTGTTGTTGTTGCCATAGTTCGGGGGGCAACATCACAGTCTGACGCGCAAGAATTCCCTTGTTAGAACAAAGGGTGCGAACCCCGGGAGTTGCACTTCAATGGATACACACACTTGTCACTTAAAGGGGACGTCAACAGTCTACATATATATATATATATATATATATATAAGAGAGTCGAATAACAGTTTTAAAACATGAATCAACGCCGCAGGAAGCAGAATCCGCCCGACGGAACTCCACTTGAGCCACACACGTAGGGGACGGTCTAAGGCCGTTCGGCGTCCTCACCCTGACTGCTGGACTCCCAGATTCCGTCTTACTTCCGCCGCCTTTCTTCAAGTGCCGAGCGGCTCTCCCTCTTCCCTCCTCTTCCCCTCTTCCCTCTTCCCTCCTCTTCCCTCCCAACGCCTTGCTCTTTCATATTGCTGCCCACTTTGTCCGACCGACGGGTACCGATGTCCCACCCCCCGACGACGACGGCGACGGCGACGACGACGACGACGACGAGGACGACCACGACGACGACGACGACGACGACCGACGACCCCCCTTCGCAGCAGCAGCAGCAGCAGCAGCAGCAGCAGCAGCAGCAGCAGCAGCAGCCGTCTCGTCTCAGGCCGCGGCAGGCTCCGTCTGCTCAACCGCGGGGGCGTCCTCCAGCCCCTCCCGCGCAGCCCACCACCCGGCAGAGGCGCCCCACAGGCGCCTCGGCTCCCAGAGGCGAGCGATGTCGGCCGGCGCTGGCTCGAAGGAGCTCCTCAACGTGCTGGGCGAGTGCAAGGCCAGGATCCATTCCCAAACATGCTCGCGGCGTGACAAAAATTACGCTACCGAGGAACCCCACAAACTTAATTTAAATCTTATGTGTTTGCTTATGTATATCAATATATAATATATATATATTATAGATATATATTATATATCTATATTATATTATCATATTATACTATATATATTATATATATATATACCTTTATCATATTATTATATATGCCAATCATGCGTTCTAGCCTCGTCGCGAATGTTCCTGCTAGGCTTTGCGCCTGCGTGTATAGCGGCCGACTAGAGACCACCCTGCTCACCCCCTTTGGTGTCGAGAAAGTGCCACGCTTGCTAGGCTTCGCGCCAGCGTCGTGGATAGCGGCCGAACTGAGAGACCACCCCCTGCGCACCCCATGTGGTGTCGAGAAAGTGCCACGCCTACTAGTCTTTGCGACAGTGCCGTGGATAGCGGCCGCGGTGAGAGACCACCCCCTGCGCACCCCCTGTGGTGTCGAGAAAGTGCCACGCTTGCTAGGCTTTGCGCCATTGTCGTGGATAGCGGCCGAACTGAGAGACCACCCCCTGCGCACCCCCTGTGGTGTCGAGAAAGTGCCACGCCTGCTAGCCTTTGCGCCAGTCTCGTGGATAGCGGCCGAGCTTGAGGGACCACCCCCTGCGCACCCCCTGTGGGTCCCGAGAAAGTGCTACCCTACTAGGCTTTGCGACGTGTCCGTGGATAGCGGCCGAACGAGACCAACCCCCTGCGCAACCCCTGTGGTGTCGGAAACTGCCACGCTGCTTAGGCTTCGCCAGTGTCCGTGAGACGGCCGAGCTGAGAGACCACCCCCTGCGCACCCCGTGTGGTGTCGAGAAAGTGCCACGTTTGCTAGGCTTTGCGCCAGTGTCGTGGATAGCGGCCGAGCTGAGAGACCACCCCCTGCGCACCCCATGCGGTGTCGCGAAAGTGCCACGCCTGCTAGGTTTTGCGGCAGTGTCGTGGATAGCGGCCGAGCTGAGAGGCAACCCCCTGCGCACCCCCTGTGGTGTCGAGAAAGTGCCACGCCTGCTAGGCTTTGCGCCAGTGTCGTGGATAGCGGCCGAGCTGAGAGACCACCCCCTGCGCACCCCCTGTGGTGTCGAGAAAGTGCCACGCCTGCTAGGCTTTGCGCCAGTGTCGTGGATAGCGGCCGAGCTGAGAGACCACCCCCTGCGCCACCCCCTGTGGTGTCGAGAAAGTGCCACGCCTGCTAGGCTTTGCGCCAGTGTCGTGGATAGCGGCCGAGCTGAGGACCACCCCCTGCGCACCACCCCTGTGGTGTCGGAAAGTGCTACGCCTACTCGGCTTTGCGCAGTGTCGTGGATCCGGCCGAACGGAGAGACCACCCCCCGCGCACCCCCTGTGTTGTCGAGAAAATGCCACGCCTGCTAGCCTTTGCGCCAGTGTCGTGGATAGCGGCCGAGCTGAGAGACCACCCCCTGCGCACCCGTGTGGTGTTGAGAAAGTGCCACGCTGGGCGTTGCGCCAGTGTCGTGGATGGCGGCCGAGCTGAGAGACCACCCCCTGCGCACCCCCTGTGGTGTCGAGAAAGTGCCACGCCTGCTAGGCTTTGCGCCAGTGTCGTGGATGGCGGCCGAGCTGAGAGACCACCCCCTGCGCACCCCCTGTGGTGTCGAGAAAGTGCCACGCCTGCTAGGCTTTGCGCCAGTGTCGTGGATAGCGACCGAGCTGAGGGACCACCCCTGCGCACCCCCTGTGGTGTCGAGAAAGTGCCCACGCCCCTGAGCCCAGGCTTTTGCGCCAGCGCCGCGGTGAGAGACACCCCCTGCGCACCCGTGGTGTCGAGAAGTGCCACGCCTGCTAGCCTTTTGCGCCAGTTCGTGGATAGCGCCAGAGCTGAGAGCACCCCCTGCGCACCCCTGTGGTGTCGAGAAGGTGCCACGCCTGCTGGCCTTTGCGCCAGTGTCGTGGATAGCGGCCGAGCTGAGAGACCACCCCCTGCGCACCCCCTGTGGTGCCGAGAGAGCGCCACGCCTGCTAGGCTTTGCGCCACTGTCGTGGATAGCGGCCGAGCTGAGAGACCACCCCTTGCCCACCCCCTGTGGTGTCGAGAAAGTGCCACGCCTGCTAGGCTTTGCGACAGTGTCGTGGGTAGCGACCGAGCTGGGAGACCACCCCCTGCGCACCCCCTGTGGTGTCGAGAAAGTGCCACGCTTGCTCGGTTTGCGCACCCCCTGTGGTGTCGAGAAAGTGCCACGCTTGCTAGGTTTGCGCCAGTGTCGTGGATAGCGGCCGAGCTGAGAGACCACCCCCTGCGCACCCCCTGTGGTGCCGAGAAAGTGCCACGCCTGCTAGGCTTTGCGCCAGTGCCGTGGATAGCGGCCGAGCTGAGAGACCACCCCCTGCGCACCCCCTGTGGTGTCGAGAAAGTGCCACGCCTGCTAGCCTTTGCGCCAGTGTCGTGGATAGCGGCCGAGCTGAGAGACCACCCCCTGCGCACCCCCTGCGGTGTCGAGAAAGTGCCACGCCTGCTAGGCTTTGCGCCAGTGTCGTGGATAGCGGCCGAGCTGAGAGACCACCCCCTGCGCACCCCCTGTGGTGTCGAGAAAGTGCCACGCCTGCTAGCTTTTTTGTTGCGCCAGTGTCGTGGATAGCGGCCGAGCTGAGAGACCACCCCCTGCGCACCCCCTGTGGTGTCGAGAAAGTGCCACGCTTGCTAGGCTTTGCGCCAGTGTCGTGGATAGCGACCGAGCTGAGAGACCACCCCCTGCCCACCCCCTTTGGTGTCGAGAAAGTGCCACGCCTGCTAGGCTTTGCGCCAGTGTCGTGGATAGGGACCGCGGTGAGACCACCCCCTGCGCACCCCCTGTGGTGTCGAGAAAGTGCCACGCCTGCTAGGCTTTGCGCCAGTGTCGTGGATAGCGGCCGAGCTGAGAGACCAACCCCTGCGCACCCCCTGTGGTGTCGAGAAAGTGCCACGAGCTGTGCTGTGCTGTGCTGAGCTGAGCCGTGCTGGGCTGTGCTGAGCTGTGCTGAGCTGTGCTGTGTGCCGAGCTGAGCTGAGCTGCGTGTTGAGCTGAGCTGTGATGTGCTGTGCTGTGCTGAGCTGTGCTGAGCTGTGCTGTACGAAGAGTGAGGTGTGTGTCGCGGGTGCAGCGCGGCACGGAACAAGTCAGGTCGGTCGAGCACGAGACACCTAAGGCGGCCGAGCACGGACAAGCCAGGTCGGCCTCCTGGAGAGGAGGTAGAGGGCAAGGAGGAGGAGGAGGAAGAAGAGGAGAGAAGGGAGGAGGACCATCGTGCATAGCGGCCGAGCTCAGGGACCACCTCCTGCGCCCCCCTCTGGTGTCGAGAAAGTGCCACGCCTGCTGTGCCTGGACGACCGTCGTGCATAGCGGCCGCGCTCAGGGACCACCCCCTGCGCACCCCCTCTGGTGTCGAGAAAGTGCCACGCCTGCTATGCCTGGGCGACAGGCGCGTATAGCGCCGCGCTCAGGGACCACCCCCTGCGCCCCCCTTTGGTGTCGAGAAAGTGCCACGCCTGCTGTGCCTGGACGACCGTCGCGCATAGCGGCCGAGCTCAGGGACCACCTCCTGCGCCCCCCTCTGGTGTCGAGAAAGTGCCACGCCTGCTGTGCCTGGACGACCGTCGTGCATAGCGGCCGCGCTCAGGGACCACCCCCTGCGCACCCCCTCTGGTGTCGAGAAAGTGCCACGCCTGCTATGCCTGGACGACCGGCGCGTATGGCAGCCGCGCGCTCAGGGACCACCCCCTGCGCACCCCCTCTGGTGTCGAGAAAGTGCCACGCCTGCTATGCCTGGACGACCGGCGCGTATAGCAGCCGCGCTCAGGGACCACCCCCTGCGCACCCCCTCTGGTGTCGAGAAAGTGCCACGCCTGCTATGCCTGGACGACCGGCGCGTATAGCAGCCGCGCTCAGGGACCACCCCCTGCGCACCCCCTATGGTGTCGAGAAAGTGCCACGCCTGCTATGCCTGGACGACCGGCGCGTATAGAGACCGCAGCGAGAGACCACCCCCTGCGCACCCCCTATGGTGTCGAGAAAGTGCCACGCCTGCTATGCCTGGACGACCGGCGCGTATAGAGACCGCAGCGAGAGACCACCCCCTGCGCACCCCTTATGGTGTCGAGAAAGTGCCACGCCTGCTATGCCTGGACGACCGGCGCGTATAGAGACCGCAGCGAGAACCACCCCCTGCGCACCCCCTATGGTGTCGAGAAAGTACCACGCCTGCTATGCCTGGACGACCGGCGCGTATAGAGACCGCAGCGAGAGACCACCCCCTGCGCACCCCCTATGGTGTCGAGAAAGTGCCACGCCTGCTATGCCTGGACGAACACGGCGCGTATGGCCCGCAGCGAGAGACCACCCCCTGCGCACCCCCTATGGTGTCGAGAAAGTGCCACGCCTGCTATGCCTGGACGACCGGCGCGTATAGAGACCGCAGCGAGAGACCACCCCCTGCGCACCCCCTATGGTGTCGAGAAAGTGCCACGCCTGCTATGCCTGGACGACCGGCGCGTATAGAGACCGCAGCGAGAGACCACCCCCTGCGCACCCCCTATGGTGTCGAGAAAGTGCCACGCCTGCTATGCCTGGACGACCGGCGCGTATAGAGACCGCAGCGAGAGACCACCCCCTGCGCACCCCCTATGGTGTCGAGAAAGTGCCACGCCTGCTATGCCTGGACGACCGGCGCGTATAGAGACCGCAGCGAGAGACCACCCCCTGCGCACCCCCTGCGCATATGGTGTCGGAAAGTGCCACGCCTGCTATGGACGACCGGCGCGTATAGAGACCGCAGCGAGAGACCACCCCCTGCGCACCCCCTCTGGTGTCGAGAAAGTGCCACGCCTGCTATGCCTGGACGACCGGCGCGTATAGAGACCGCAGCGAGAGACCACCCCCTGCGCACCCCCTATGGTGTCGAGAAAGTGCCACGCCTGCTATGCCTGGACGACCGGCGCGTATAGAGACCGCAGCGAGAGACCACCCCCT